AACTCGAAACAATTGAAGACTGCCTAAAACATCCAGAACGGAGGTTGTAGTGGCCGGGGGTACAGTTAGACGCGAGGCATTGGAATGGGCATGCTCCGAACAAGACACGAGAGAATGTTACTTTTGGAAATGGCCACACGACTGGGCTTGATAGTCGTCACAAGCGCTCCACTCCAACTACAGAAGACCCGGTTTCGGAAACTTATCCAGACATCACGCTCCATGTCGGAGAGCTAGCGCTAAGGAGCAAGGGTGGCGAAGTCATTAGGACTCAACCAGGTAGCACCACAATTACTTAGTTCCAATACTTGAATAAGGAATATACAGGATACACGTGAAGATCACCTCACCAAGACGGTATAAACGATGGAACGCGCGAAAATGGACAAAGGGAAACTACAGGGAGCGATCCAAGATGGTCTGGAGTCTATCCTCAAGCTAGCCGGTAGGACCGCCGGACAAGGCACAAACAATACCTCGTAGAGGCAACCATGAACCTCATTACCAAAGCATGCAACCCTCTATGCCATAAAAGAAGAGGAACCGGAAAACGCCCGGCTATTGGATGGACCATTGAATAGCTGATTACGGGGCAAATTGGCCTTCAAACTCCGCAGAAAAGCACAACGAGCACACAGAACACAACCCGCAAAGCTAGCAGAGTTCACAGCGGAGCACCAAGGTTGCGAGGAGACACTGCGAAACCGCTCATCCAGAGCAAGCCAAACCGAGTCGGAAAAAACTGTGCGCGGAAGTCGCCATGACCCTGGGGACTGGGTACAAAATTGTCACCGCAGAACTAAGGCCTGATCCACGGTCTCCCCTAGCCCAGAAGAAACAGACCATTAGTGAGGCTCTCTTTCCAAACGGCACCACATTTGGAAGCGAAGAAACGATGAACCGGGGGAGTTCCGATACAACCTTCAGCAAAAGAGCTAGTAGCGGCGGTTAATTCCAAAAAACCAGAAGGCACCTGGACCGGATGGCATACAGGCGGATAGTGTTATAATAGCATGGTGGAAACAACCCGCACAGACTGCTATTAATGACATTAAAACTTGTCTGAAAGCAGGTATATTTGTACATCCGTTTGGAAAACCGATGCGACTGGCCTCGTAAGCAAGGGCAAAGCGACAAGCACACGCCACAGCGTACAGACTCTCTGTATGTTAGATGTTAGCGGGGAAATACTGAGAAAAGCCTCCTGAAACCGCGAGTTGTTGGCGGCTACCGAAGCTGCAGAAAATCTGTCGACCACAGCACGGGTTCAAGACGAGGGCGCTCCACGATAGAGCCCATACGGGGAGGTTACCAGAGCCGTTCGACGAGCGACGAGGCTGCCACGGCGGCCCGCCCAATCGTCTTCTTGTGACCCTCGAGCTAAGAATGCGTTTAACTCGGCAAAGTGGGCTGAATCCTGGAGCGCCTGGAAAACCCTTCAATGTCCCCAAATACCTTACCGTATGGTAAGAGACTACCTAAGGACCTTACATCCTATACGAGACAACAAACGGGCAAAATCCAAGCCACGCACCGCGGTGTTGCACAGGGCTCAACTAGCACAGATTTCTGGAACGCGTATACGACAGTTTGCTAAGGCAGAGATGCCGGAGGCCTCTCGTCGCATACCAGACGACACAAGCGCCGTCATTAGAGCTCACGTTCGAGACTAGCCAACTAAGGCTAACAGGTAATGAGGCGACTCAGTGACTGGATGGAAGGCACGGTTCAGTTGGTACCCGCAAAACGGAAATCGTGGTACTCACCAGAAAAAGAAACCCACCATCTTACCCTTACAAGCGGGAAGAGAAAGGGTACTACCGAATCGCCACAAAGTATCGGGTGTACCCTGGACACGAAGCTTACTTTCTGCCCACATTAGAAGGCCGCACGACAAAGCTGCAACCACAACCGCAGCACTCAGCAGGTTGATGGCAGTGTACGCCCACGCCCGAACAAAAGGAGACTGCTGATGTCGACAGTACAGTCAATGCTTTTGTACGGAGCTGAAGTGTGGCCGAAGCATGACTGTGAAAATAACAGAACACGGATCTCAGCGGTTCAGCGTAGGGAGCACTGAGGTGGCATGCTCTTACGAACAGTCTCCGCAGACGCCATCCTTGTATCGCCGGCAAACCGATCGACCTGCTCGCGCTGGAGCGCAAGCGAATTTATGACAGGAGCGCAGGCGACGGCAGAGCGAAAGCGGCACAAAGGAGCGAAAGAGACAAGGAGCGCTGGCAGGAACGCTGGAACACGGGACCAAAGGGGTGGACGCACCGACTAATTAAGAAGTTGCTGCCGTGGGTGCACACGCGAGTTTGGGGAAGTGAACTTCTAACTCTCCCAGTTCCTGACAGGACACGGCTACTTCAGAGACTATCTCTACGCATGGGAGGGTTCAATCACCCCACTGTAAGCATGTGGAAATCAATTAGACACCGCCGAGCCACCTTTTTCCAGTGTACAAACCGGAAAGAAAAACTCTTAAAACTAGAGGGAACGACAGGTAGTCTCACGCCAGAGAATAATTGTCGACAGAATGCTAAGAAAATGAGAAGTCCTGAAACGCAATTTCCCACTCATCAAAAAGCGTTCTGCGGGCAAAGAAGGAAGAAGGCTGTCTAAGCGATAGCGTTATAAGGACGGAACAAATGAAGATGCATCCATCACGAAAGGCCCAGCCTGAAGTAATGCGAAAGCGTCGTCCAGGCGTGAGGCCAGAAGAAACAGGTGGTTATTTTTAGTGAGGTCACCTAGCAAGAGGTATCCCACTGTTGAGCAAGCCGGTCCCTCTTCGCCTTTGAAGGTTTTTTTCCACTGGCCGCAAAAAAAAATAAATAAATAATAATAATAATAATAATAATAATAATAATAACAACAACCCCGTGTGGTGTCGGGATTTTAGTAGAATAGCACACGGACTCCCCCTGTCGTAGAAGGCGACTAATCGGAGCAGCTGTCCGCTGTCACTCCCCTAACACCCGTCATTCCCACACTCTGTGTGTCATTGCTCCACTTACTTGTGGCACACATCTGTTTTCTTTCTGTAGGCCATCTTGTATCGGCCAACTCTTGTGTTTCCGCCCGACGCAGTAGGTTGCGAGGGCTAGGGAGTCGTTTCATTCTACACTTCTGATTCTAACTCTGTCTTCTCTGTCCCCCTTGTTCTTCCGTTTCCTTAACTGTGGTAGCTCAAAACGCTAGGGAAGGTGACCTGAAGAAAAAACAGATAGAGGATTTGTCAGGATGACAGAGGTGCAGGGGTCGGAGCACCGGGCGTCGTACCCAGCGACTGCAATCCCAGGGTGCGGATCACTCTGCACCACTGGCAGATAGTACTACGAGTGTAGCAGCTTCGCGGGACTCGTATGGAAGTCTGCGAATCTAGGGTTGGAGAGGAACCCTTAAAAACCCTCGGTCCAGAAAAAAGCCCGGAGCTAATGTAAAACGAATGAAAGTTGGAAAATCAACAAACTATGATGACCTGTTTCAAGAACACCGCAGTGGTACTAAAGTACCATTACAGATAAAAGACTGAAGGGTATTTTGATAAAGTGAGCCCGTTTATAATAGAGAGGAGTATTAGCACCTGCGCTGGATCTGCCGTAAAGACATACAGAAAACTTCATCTGGACTCTGGTAGAAACAGATTAATACAATCAAGGTAAAAAAGCTACTTGATTCCGAGAAATTTTGTTTTCTGTGCTTGTCTGATGCTGTTTCCTTCTAATGTTAAATTTGGTGAGATTTGTTGTGTTGAGTGGGAGTTGTGGAAGGGTATTGTGATTATTTTGTCTCGGTTTAGAATTAGTTTGTTATGGTGGATTCAGTGAACTAACTTGTCGATGGCTAAATTGGCTTTGTCTTGCAAAGCATTATTTGTTCTTTCTTTGAATATTATATTAGTGTCATCAGCAAAAAGTACAGTTTTGTTGTTTTCCATTATCGATGGCAGATCATTTACAAATATAAGAAATAAAATCGGACGTAGTGTGGATCCTTCCGGGACCCCATATGTCACATTCCTTGGCTCAAGAGTAATGGTTATTAATTTTGTTGTCTTTTTGGTAAGGTAATACAACTATTTGTTTTCGGGCTGTAAGGTATGATTTTATCCAATTGTAAGCAATCCCTCGTATTTCATGATTCTAATTTTGACAATAGAATTGTGTGATCTATCGTGTCAAAGGCTTTTGACAGGTCGAGAAAGAGACCAACAAGAATTTCTTTTTGCTCTAATACCATAAGGATTTCATTTACAAAGGTGAATAGAGCAGTTTCAGTTGAATGATTTTCCCTGAATCCATGTTGAGAGTCAGTGATAATGTTACAGTGTATCAAGTAGTTTTTTAATCTTTCAGAGAACAGTTTTTCTAATATTTCTAAAAAACCTGACAAGATTGAAATTGGCCTATAATTCATTACATCCTGTTTGTTACCTTTTTTGTGTATAGGTTTAATTACAGTAGTTTTAAATATGTTTGGGAAGGAGCCATGAGTTAGTGATTGGTTGTATAAATATGTTAATGGTTTGATGATATATGGAGCAATCTTTTTTATTAAGAAGTCTGGAATGTTGTCTATCCCAGGGGATTGTTTATTTTTCATTTTGTTTATAATTTGAAGTATTTCCTTTTCTGATGTTTCTGTGATGTACATGCTAGAAAAAGTGTTTTTTAAGAAAGGTGATGGGTGTAGTGTTTGGATTTCTTGTTTTTAGTAGTTTACCAGCAATTTGAGAGAAGTGTTCATTGAATATTCTGGCTGTTTCATTAGGGTTTGTTATTTGTTGTATATTTCCAAATAACAATCCAAGAATTTGTGTGGAAATGAATTTACAGTTCTTCAATTTAAATCAAGTACTACAAAGACTTGTGCCACATCAAAGCTGACAAAAAGTTACACAATCAAATCTTGGATATCAATATATGTTGCACTTGTTACTTCTGAAAGCAATCATTTATATTTCTATTCTATGATTATATAAATTAGCTTACTATTTTCCATATTTTGGGTCCTTCGTATTTCCTCTTGTATCATACACTTCACAGATGCAGTGTCTATAAATTGAATGTTTGGAGAAATTATTTCAAAAAACAAAAAATTCATTAAAGCAATTAGTATCAATTATAAAATAATGGCCATCACACTATCATAATTACATAATGCAATAATAAAATCACAAGATATTTTTCACATACCTTTACCACCTTTCACGTATTGAGCAATAATTGAAACAGTTTGCAGAATAATTGAACTAATTTGTGACATTTTCTGAAACAAATTTACATTTTGTGTTAGGTAAATACAAACAACTTAGGCCTGAAAACTAAATTAATTGAGGAAAGAGGAAAGTAGAGGTTGTTTATTCTTTTTATGAATTAAATCAAAAGAATTGTTAATGAATCACATTTAATATTGAGTCTTCATTAGAAAGTGGTAAGTTGTGAACAAAGGTAGCTCGCCCTGGGCAATAGCATTGTTGTCTCCCCACTTCAGTCAAGTATAAAAAATGTATTTTATTATAGAATTGTCTATCAAATATTTTTAATAAAAATCAAAATGGTTTGGCATTATTTTTTATGTTTAAATTTGAATAAGTTATTTGTATCAAGCAATATAAAAAGCATAATTTTGAACAAATAATTTCAACTGCTAGAATAGAATACAATTACAGAAATGAGCACGATGTTGCCTATTGAAATTAAGACTTTTTCGTGAGTGCTTTAAGATATCTATAAGATATCAATGGCAGATGAGAATGAAAGAATGAAGAGTACCTGATAAAATTTTAATACAAATTAATTTATTTTAAGGAAATTGCCGTCTTTACCATGAAAACAACTTTAAATGATGGGCAAAAATCACATTAATTTAAATTAATGAAATAAAATTTATAAATTTTTCTTTATAATTATTACATGTTTATGTGACAAAACGTTTAAATTAATTACGCGATTTTTTGTCGTTTTTTAAAATGTGTCACGAGAACGTTCTCTCCCTGGGGGGCCATCATCACCAAACAGCAGTCAAACAAACGAAGTTCTGTACTATGACGTTAAACGCAATCCGCACCATGTAAACATTCAAGCTGCATTCAAGGTATTAATTTCTATACGTGTCCACTATGCAAATATTCACTATCACAATAGACGTTTACTTACTTGAATTGTGCCACGATTCTATCTAATGTTAATACTCACTATTCAAGGTTCTGCGAAGCACTGCAAGACGAACAAAGTATATATGAATAGGGCGTTATTAAAGCACGCAACGACTTTCCACGTCAGCGAACACGCCGAGCAATAGCGAAGTCAGTAATGTCAGTAATAAAACGAGAGAATTGATAAGGCACGTGATCGGCCCCAAATGTTGCATCATCAGGGAGTTCCCCTGGATATCCAGTCGCAAAATGACGAAAGCTTTACCAACTTAATAGGTGACATTTTCTAATAAACTTGGTGGTGCTACAATAGCACATACCTTATCGTTTTATTGGTACGTTTGCATAATATTATACGTACACGTTTACATGCACTTGAGCCCCGAAATATCTACCCCCACTCCTTTTCTAATATTATTTAAATTCAGAATAAATGATATCAATTTAATTGGATTCCAGAAAATTGAAAAAATAAAGTAATTGTTTAGCATTACATAACGCTAAACTACGACCATCTACCCCTATGTAACAGCATAACGCTGCCTCAATCCCCCTCGCCCTCTTTGGCGTTTCATAGTTTATTGGCGATCCCTAATTGTTATGGAAAGTGACAATAATAGTTAATAATATTGGCGTGTAAATTATAATAGTCATTTAACTATATCCCATCTTATTACAGTAAATCTTATGGCGGGACCTCTGCAAGACGGAAACTGCCACCCCGGGCAAGTCCCTGAACGGAACAAATTTATACGTGAAAATGATCTTTGTAAGCCGGAAACCTCTCTATTATAACGCGGAAACGGAATAGTTTTTAGAAAACGTAAAGTGATCATCTTCCGGATCAATGACCCCTCTCTCGATCAGATTTTTGTTCAGTTTACCTGGTCCAATGAGCAAATGCTGAAATGGCCCCTTGTTTTGCTTCTGGACATAAACGTTGCTTCACTATGCATATGTTTTGTTGAGCACTCCAGTGACCAATTACACCAGTACACATTACTAGCGTATCTCATTTATTCTCAAAGACACAGGAATCCAATAAACAGACAAAATAAAATATCTAGAATTCCAAAATCACCAAGAAATTAAAATGGCCTTAAACAATATACCCCCAACTAGATATTCCATAGTAAAGTAGCCCATCGAACTCCCAAATATATGTCTGCCTCATGCTTGCACTCAGTTTTTGGTTAATCTGGAATGAACAGGATTTGCTTTATTTTACTTTTAATCTTAAGTATTAATAAATAGAAGTGGCAGGCTCAATGGTGAACAACCACATAAAAAGGGATTAAACAATATGTAATAGAAATTATTTTATATTGTCAAAGAATGAGATAGGGCTTAATCAAAGTTTTAAAATTATTTTCTTTATTCATAATTTATCTGCCAAGCACTGAACTTACATAGTCTAAGTTTTAGTTTGATTGCAATTTAAGAATTTCTTCTGAGCGTTTCAATGCCTTTTTACATTGATCTAATTCCTATTTGGAATATTTTTGTCCATATAATCCCAGAAACATTCATTAAGCTGCATAGGTTGATGGCAGATCGCACTTTTTTCAATGTATTAATAAGGTTCGAAGTGCAGTTGCTAATACATCCAGATGTGCATCAAAGACACATAATTGTTAAATGTCAGAGACCTGAACAGCCCTCAGTGGAGGAGCCAAACAAACGATGTCTCACAACGTCCCATCTATCTCATTCCCTATATACTTCACCTCTAAACCTCTTATGTCTTAACTCTAAACCTGTGGCGTAACGTATGGGCCCGCAAGGCCCATAATGCAGGCGGGTCCAGATAAAAGGGGTCCTCTTTTTAGGGAATATTTTAATTATGTACTAACGCTACTTGTGTTTGCTATACATTTTTATAAGGGGGCGCGGAAAAAAGTTTTGCCTGCACTCATTTTGTTATGCCGCTGCTCTAAACATGTCTTTTTCATATCCAATTGTTACCCAGCTCCCTGTGGAACTGATCACTCGTGAGGCTACCTAATCTTGAATGGTATTGCTTCTATTTACTTACTACCATACTTTCGTCCATCAACTATCGCTATCTCTGTGAAGCCAGTCATCCTGAGTTTTACGATTCCAAAAGTTTCGTGAGGGGAAAGAAGTCGTTCCTTTCGTGTCATCTCTTTCAAGTTCACTCTTCAAGTTTTATCTCACTTCTCTCCTTTGCAAATTATCTTTGTATTGGGCAAACGCAGCTCATTAGCCATAGGAGACAGTGTATCTAGGGGGGATCAACCTGAAGAAGTTGCATCGATAAGTGAAGAAATGTGGCAATATCACAGCCGACGATTGGTGTTAAGTTTTGAGAAGGGAGTCCCTCCTTCATCTCCGAAAGAAAATGTACACGAAAGGAAAAATAAAAAACAGAATTTTTCAATTGACCATGTTTATCATTCAATTTTTATCAAATGTATTTTATTTGTAAATGTTATCAAATTTATCTTATGTAACTTCAGCAAGTTCATTTTTGCGAGGCAAAAGCAGCGCTGCGCTTTGCATTAAAAAAATATATAAACTCATTTAACAATTTTTGCAATTCGATTGTCAGTCATGTCGCTATAAACATGTAAAATGGCAATTTTGCTGAACCGATCTTGCAACATAATTGATCGCATATACTTTTTAAGTTGACCCAATACCAAGAAACTTCGTTAATTTCCGGGATTTGTCGTTTATGAAAGGCCACTTCTTCTCAGCTTCAGTTTATTACGTTTTCGTGCGAGTGTAGCTACCCACCATAGTGCCCGCGTTATTCGCCGGGCCTGATCTCATTACCTTGCATGGCATTGGTAGCGCAACTATGGGACACATACTCATAATCTTAAATGTGGTTCAATGATTACAACAACGAAGTGTAAGAAAAAGGCCAAGAATTTTGGAATAGGTCAAAATAAATGAAGTTTAAAATGCCCGCGTCTTTTCAACAAACTGAAATACACACAGAATAGAAGTCAGCAGGTAGATATTTTAGTTGTTCCTGAAACAAAAAAGAAACTAAAAGGGGCTATTGAATTAAAGAATTACATTACGCTTTTACAGCGGTGTTCGTCGAGAATGTTGTGCAGCAGCAAAAATAGCAATAATGGTAAAGAAACTATGGAAAAACAAAATTAAGAAATATACATTGTAAATGGCCACATAATAATGTGCCTGAAATACAAAAGACCAGTGTTATTGGTAACTTCCCTAGTCCAGAAAATGAAAGAGATTAGGTTTTAGAATTTTACGAAAATTTGAAGTAGTATAAACAAAAACAATTATGTTCGTATTTAAAAGCTATGTTGAAGCACAACTTGCTATTGGATATTTTGGCAAAGCCATAATACATAAATAATGGAAAAGTTACATCTTACAACAATAAAATTACTAACATGTTTTTAGGCATAAAGATATTCATATTTATACATGCTTGAGATACTAGATCCATAATTGTTTATGAATAAAAATGACAATGCATCTAAAATGCACAATATGGATTCAGGAGTAATAGATCCACAGGCACAGCCATCTTCTCCTTTTTAAATGACATACTTGTTGCACTAAATCAGAAGGGAATTCCCATTGGCCTTTTCTTATATTTGTCAAAAGCCTTTGACATCATTGACCATCATATACTTTAAAGAAAACTAGAAATGCTAGTGATTCGAGGCTTTGCAGGCCAATGGATAAAATCACACTTATCAAACTGTAGTCAAATAGTTGCCCTCCAGCACACTAAAGAAAACAAAATCTCCTCATACTACTCCTGTCCTCAAATGATAAATTGTGGAGACCCGCAAGGATCCACTAGTAAAATGGTTTCAACACAACAAACTCATCATAAATGCCAGCAAGACAGTCTCTCTAAATTTCATGAATCCCCGATCTAAAGAAAAACTCTCACAGCATTTGCTCATAAACAATAACCATGTAACGATATCTCATAAAACAACCTTCCTCGATCTAACAATTCAAGAAAACCTAAAATGGAATGCTCATGCATTTTAACGAGAAGCTCACCAAATCTTGCTATGCCCTACAAAGCTCCACATTGAGACACTTCGAACAATGTATTTTGCAAATGTGCACTCACACCTAAAATATGGATTAATATTCTGGGGAAATGCCCCTGAAAGCACTCGCACATTTATTATCCAAAAAAGAATATTGCGAACATGGCCAGCATTTTCTGCATAAGCTGGAGCTTGCAAACCGTTAATTTAATAAACTAAGATTCTTCCTTCTACAGACATGATATATATTTATAATGATGTGTCTTTCATCAAGAAAATTCTCATGGAAACAAACCGCTTTTACTTTTAAATTCTATGTACACAACTAAACACCCATCAAAAGGATAACCTACATGTTGCCCACTCTGAACTACACTTTATCAAAAAAAGTACCCTATATGAGCATTTCACTTTACAAACAAATAGCAATGAATTAAAGACATTCTAATAATTTTATTTATTATATGTTTTATTATTATTATTATTATTATTATTATTATTATTATTATATTATTATATTATTATTATATTATTATTATTATTATTTTATTATTATTCTTATTTTATTATATTATTATTATTATTATTATTATTATTATTATTATTATTATTATTATGTTATTATATTATTATTATTTATTATTATTATTATTATATATTATTATTATTATTATTATTATTTATTATTATATTATATATATTATTATATTATTATTATTATTATTATTATTATTATTATTATTATTATTATTATTATTATATTTAAATTATTTACATTATTATTATTATATATTATTATTTTATTATTATTTATTATTATATTATTATTATTATTATTATTATTATTATTATTATTATTATTATTATTATTATTATTATTATAAGTAGCAGCATTAAAATAACATCTTGAAATGTTAAATTATTTCCTACTAAAAATAATTATCTACTGTATAATATTCTAATCAATCTGTAACAAGTATTGTAGTATTATTTCTAGGCCAATGACCCCATCTCGAGCAGGTTTTGTTCAGGTTCCCTGGTCCCTTGAGCAAATGCTGAGATGGCCCTTTGTTTGCTCCTGAACAGTAATGTAACTTCGCTCTCTCCACCCAAGACATCATGTTGACTCGTCATACACGATTTTAATTGTATATGTGACTCAATAAATATTATTATTATTATTATTATTATTATTATTATTATTATTATTATTATTATTATTATTATTAATTAGTACAAGATATTAGAGTATGCAGAGGTAAGAGTATCAATTCTGATCTCTTACTACGAAATTCTAAAGTAGCCATTCCCATTCAGTGGAAGAAAATGAATCGAAAGAAAGTAGAACCTAAAGAAGGTGGCACCTAAGTAGAACATAAGGAAGGCACCTTTAGAAGGTGCATTTAAAACAACAAGATAAGAGTGAGGTTCTATACCAGAAACATTTAAAGGAAATAAGCAGTAATAGACTCCAAACAAAAATTAAATTTTATAAAATCATGGCTATTCCAAAATTGTTATATGGAAATGAAAATTGAATTCTGACAAAAAAAAAAAAAAAAAAAGTAAAAGAATTGAAAGTGCATAAATTAAATTCCCACAATGGGTCATAGGCTATACCTAACAGTCCATGAATGAAGAAAAAACATACAAAAAGGTGGCAAGATCAATGATGATAAATATCAGATATTATTCCTCTAAAATGTGTTTCACTTTAGCACATCAATATTGTACCCTATTGAGGAAACTTTTAAAACTTTGCAATTGCTAACACTGGGCAAGTCATTTTAGATGAAAAGAAACAGAAGAGAAAAAAGTGTCTTCTTCTCAATTAAATTAACAAATATTTGTAATGTGATTTCCCTAAGAAACACCGTTTCTGGACAGAAATTTCTTGAAGATTTCTTTTTTAAATGTCTAGTAAGTTGTGCTTATAGTGACTTAAAGTTCTGTTTGCTCATGATTCTTAATATTGGAAGAAAAAAATCAATGATTTCAGAAAGAAATGGAGAAAAATGCAAACTTGTGAATTGATAGAATCAGGATGCAATTAATATCAGCTTTGTATAATGTGTGGCCCTGCAATCCTACATAATTTTAGACTGTAGGAACAACCTTGGCCCACCAGCCACTGTTCTCAAATAACACTAATGGCCTCCAGTTTTCAACAGCACACTGAGTCATGGAAATGAGCATTAAGTTATGGTGACGATCATGCTGCAATGAAATTGAAAATTATAAAAGACCCTTACTACAGCAGGGGTAACCGACTTGAAACATCTCAAGGGCCAGAGCCAGTGGCTTAATGTTCAGGACCACAGCCCTGCAATGTGGGCGGGGGGGAATGAGTAAAAGAGAGCCTGTTTTTAGGGTATATTTTTATTATTTAATGTAGCAACACTACTTGTGTTAGCTTTATACTTTTATAAAGATGGCCTGGATAAATGTTTTGCTTACGGATCACACTCATTGTGTTATGCTACTGGCCAAAGCTAAAACCTGTAATGTGGTTCAAGGCTATATTTTCATTACTCGGGCGATCCACTTCTTATTGTAGATATCGGCTGTTTGACTAGCTGCTCTCAAAAAGGTGAGGGGGGATTGAAATAATGCATATTGTCAGGCTTTATCATGCAAAACATGGTGAAATACATTAGGATGATTTAGAATTTATGAATATACCAGAAAAAATGTCCTTAAATCTATATTTCATTAAAGCAGTGTTGACCCTGGCAGGGTGCATGTGCTAGGCACACAATGTTCTCACCAGTCATGGGTGCAAAAGCCATTCACTTTTGACTAATAACCTTTCGTGGGCCACAATAAATGGCTGCCAGTTGGACAACCCTGTTCTATGGGAATGATAACTTCCGAGGCCAAAATGTTGAAAGAACGATTTAATGTAATATTGTGAGGAACATGCTGCTGTTTTCTTTTCCCACCTGAAATGACTCATTCAGTATATACTGTGAGCAAAACCAAATCTGTAAATTATTATGGTTGATCATGTCTATTCCTGATCATTAATTTTTAATACTTAGTAATTAAAAAACCTTATATAATTGTTGATGTAATTACTATAATTTCATGTTATTGAGTTTCATATTTTCTTGGTCTTTTGTAATGAACTCTCTGAAGAGCATTCTTCAATTTTGTGTATCTTCTAATGAGCTTTACAATAGAATTATATTATAATAAACAATCAAATATTTTCATAACACAACAGCAACAACAAAGGCTAAACAAAACCTAATGATGTGAATTACACACGATTGAAATAAATACAAATTCTAAATATTTGCAAACGTAAGATAAAAAGACCGTCTATAGCATGTAAGCTGATCTGAAAATTGAAGCTTGCTCTAATTTTCTTGGGAAAAGATAGAGGATATGTAAACAATTAACAATAAAAATATGCTCAAGAGCCAAGATTTGGAAATTTATATTAAATTATGTTAACTTCATAGAAATGTGTCAAGGATGATGTAGTTAACTTCATAGTACAAATTTAAAACCTTAAAGTATTTTAGAAACATCTCATTGCACAAAATACAATAATTAAAAATGTAACAATATTTAAAAATATAACATTAATAAGTTCAAGAAAGCAGCGTTCACCTATACCAAAACTAGTGCACCCGAATGACTCTTGAGTTGCTTTAATTGGGAAAGCTTGCGGCATTTCATAAAACATCTGTGATAAACTATACCAATATTGTGCTATAAATGCCCTTATCTACTTAGATCGTGTAAAACTTGAAATCAATTTCACAATAAGCATAACAAAGAATCTGAACTTGAAATTCTGAACAGAGGCTAAAAATCAATGAACTGAAAGGCAGGGTTAAAAAAAGTTTGAAACCACTTTTAATTTGCTAATTCAATAACCTGTACATTTATATTCAAAGTTCTCTGAAACAAATGTTATGTTGAGGACATTCCAACACATGTTCAAAACAGAACTCATTACAAAATAAGCATTTGTGTTGAGATACTACACAGGGATTTTTCTAACTCTGCCCCCTTCACAGTGGCATTAAGTCACTGTTTTTCGCGTCTTTCTCGATCATGCTACTAGATGTCGCACCGTTTACCAGACAGTTACGGACCCTATACCGCTGGTAACAGTGACCTGAAATAGTGATGTAATGCTACCGTGAAGTAGGGTCTTGAGGGGCAAAGTTAGAAAAAACTTACATACATTGTAGTGTATACATAAGTACATACATTGTACTTAAATAATTATCCACAAGGTGTCTTAAATGCCAGTTCACTGGCATTCACAAATATATTACCTCAACCCACACACACAAACACAGTAATCATACTGTAAACACAGTAACAATACACAAGATCTCACTTCAGCTTATTTCAATTTTATTTATTTATTTTGTTAAATTGGATTTTATTTAATCATTAATTTATTATTTCTGCTCACTTCAACATGTAATCAAAAAACCATTTTTTTTAATGTATAACTTCAGTTCCAAGAACAATTTGTGTAAATCATTCTCATTATGACCTCTTATATCTTGAGACTAAGAATTATTTATCCAATCATACTTATTTTAGTAATCAAATAATCTCAAATGCACATTGTACTTAAAATAACGTAACTCTTCACAAATTCCCAATAATGCTTGAGAGAATTCATTTACTGCTATATCTGATTACTTTATTCAGTCATATGACAAATATGTTATTAAACAATAATCTTGTCTCTAAATGTTTTAGGTTTAAGAAACAACCTCAACATGCCCCCATTTTTCATTTTAAATCAATCATTATCATTAATTGAAAAAATGAAATTTATTTGTTACTAGCATCATTGCTATGTCTGACAGAAGGGTTATTTAACTCTTCTCCGTCAGGAAAATTCATAAGGAAGCACCCAGTTAGCAGTACGTTCCAGAACCACTGTTCTCATGTTTTCATTGAAGAAAACTGTGTAGTGGTGTAAGAAGGATGGTGCAGTACAAATTGCACATCAATACATTTGTATTCTGTATCTATTCTAACAAAGAATGGAAAGAAAAGAAAAAAAAGAAAAGAAAAGGAAAGAAAAGAAAAGAAAAGGAAAGGAAAGGAAAGGAAAGGAAAGGAAAGAAAAGAAAAGAAAAGAAAAGAAAAGAAGTTAATGTTAACGGAGGAAATCACAATAATTTCTAACAATTTTCTTCCAAATTTGAAACTTTTCATTGTAAAATGAAAATTTCTTTTCAGTGACATTCTTCAAATTATCCTCTCTGAAAATTACTTCAACTTAATTCAGAGTAAACAATTCTGTAAGAATCTGTTACTCTAACAATAAACATTTTGTACACTAGCCTCTACAGAACTAGTTTACTCATTTGTATGTTTTCTTAATTAATTATAACACAAAAGAAAAAAGGAAATATTCATTCATTTCTGTAAGACATTCTGTAACATTCAAAAATTTAATTAGAAAATTAAGGTTCAGCGTATTATCTCTATTAAATCTAAATAATAAAAAATATTATACTCATAAAAATATTATAGTCATAAAAATATTATACTCATAAAAATATTCTATACATAATCCAAAATATCTGACTATAATATCTTCTAAGAAATAACACAGTTTTCTTCTGGATCACCTTCATCATTCTGTTTGCTTCTCGCAGTATGTTGCTTTTGTTGCCCTCCATGTTCATTTTGCCTGAAACAAGGCAATTTCTAGTTAATATTAACCCAATAATCAATCAAGATCAAAAGATTACAAGATTAGAGGTATTTTATGGGAAGTGATTTGATTTTTGATGAAATAAAGTTTACTTATTTCATGCACCCAAATAGTATATTTTCTCTGCATACTAATTCAAGAAAAAATAATTCATTCAGATAGTGCAGAAAAGAATATTGAGGAAATAGTTATTAAACACAGTTTAAAGCACCCAATCTAGTTTTGATGCACCAATTTGATTATTATTAATAATCAAATCAGACCATCAGAAATAACTACAAGAGTGTTTTTATATGACAATAGAAACATTTTTGTTTGTATTCACAAGAAAAATGATTATTTTTTGCACAGCACCTTTTTGTTTTTTGCCTCAGTTTATCAGTCTAGGCAAAAGAAAAATTCTATTATAAAAAAATATTGTTTACTTATTAATTGAAACTAAGACTAGCAAAGCAAAATAAAATGATAGGTAAGAAACATACACATTCTTCCGTCTGTTTTTCTTCACTGTGGCCTGCTGCCCTCCAGTTCTGCAACACAAAACAGCCAACATATTAACAAAAGTAGTACTTTTATTTGAACATGAACATTATGTAGATTTAGGTAAAATCTTCCTTATTAAAAATGTCTCGGAGAAATCCATGTTTCTTTAAAATCATCCATAGTATTCCAAGCAAAGTGTATTAGTAGGTACATAATTGATTCACTGGCAAATAAAATTATATATTTTTTCTGTCTAACTTTGAGAGCACCTTTTGATTAAATATGTTAATTTATACAGAAAAAAATTCTCAGTTGTGCTCTATGGTGAGCAAATTTAATATACAAAAATATAGTTACCTTTTCAATCTTTGTTTCTCTAAATAAGAAAAGAATGCAAACTCTAAATAAATTGAATTACCCCCTTCATTTTAATTTTTTTATTACGTGTGAGCATAAATATTTTGCTATGAGTGATAAATTAGATTCTCTATGCTTCACTGAGTATACTACATGTACACAAGATGTCTGTAGTCAAAAAACAATTTATAAATCAAAACAGGCTAATGTATTATATTTTTAAACTTCACCTTGAAGTACCTGGACATATGTGTCAAATCTGTTCACTTGCTCTGAAAATTCAAACCTTAATCTTTTCTAACACTTAAAATTTAATGAAGGATGAAAGAAATTCCCACATCGCCTGGTAACTACTACCCCAATGTTTATAGAAAGTTAAAAATTGGCCAAAATACTAATGCTTCAGTTTCACCTTGAAACTAAGACCCTTTAATTTACACAAAATCCAAATTTGCTTAAGGGTAGATACAGTTATCATTTAGATAACTTTTAGAATTTTGTATCTTTAAAAATAGGATTCCCAAATTTCTGTTTTCTTTGGGTTTTCAAAGGATTCATTCCATTATTAGTAATTAATGGTTTGAATTTTAAAAAATGACAAATATCCAATTTTAAACCTCCAAAAATGTTGATTTTTTCCCTTCAGATATATTATTATACCATTTGAAACAATTATTTTTCAGTTTTCATAATTGGGATCTGTAGAGCAAGGTTGCAGATATACCTGAACTCGTAGTAAAAAAACAACAAATTCTAAACAGTCTTTATCAGAAATAATTTATTTGATCTACATTACTGATTTTTCATTTGTAACAATTATACTGTATAAACTAGTGGTGCTGCAGAATGGTACAGACTTTCTCAGTTAGTTTCTTAATTTCTTCCGCCACGTCTAGCTTTTGGGTCATGCCCAATCCTCCTGCCAGCTACCATCTATTGCTTTCCAAACATAATTTTTTCGAAGTTTCTCAATTTTTCATTTTCCTAATAGTAGAACCAAAACATTACTTCAAGAACATTACAGAAGAGTGAAACCTCGTCATATAAGTATATCTTCATTGAAAAATTTGGAGCCACTTTTGAAAAAAAATGGCATTTAGCGGTACTGTAAATGCAAAATTTGAAGCTCTTTTTCATAGAAATCATTTGAATTCTCGAAAAACTTTATTGAAAGTCATTTGAAGCACTTACACTCACACCTGCAATGTTTAGTAATCAATGGAAATCATATTAAAGGCGTGCAAGATATTTCAAAAAATTACGTATGTGTAATTTAAAAAACATAGAGCAAAATTAATCTTATGTCATCTTAAACACTATCCATACAAAAAGTTTGAAGAAAAAATTTGTAGCTGTTTCAGAGAAAATTGCATTTGTGTGTTTCTGAAAATGCAGAATTTTGAGCTCATTTCTACAGAAACCTTAATAAAACATCGTTTAAAGCGCATGTACTTGCAAACACAATAATGTGAAGAAATCACTGCTAATGTAAATATTAACAACTAGCATATGAACGTGTAAATGCAATAATGAGAACAAATCGCCTCTAATGTAAATATTAACAATGTGAGAAAGTAGTAAAAAAAAAAAATATTTTTTTTTGTATTTCTTGAAAAACAAAAAAATACAGGAATATGGCTTTTATGTCATCTTGTAGAGAACATTTTGTCCAATAGCTAACAAAATTTTAAAGTAAAAATATGGTGCCACTTTTGAAAAAATTTAGTTTTTGTTATTTTTCAGAACTGCACACATTGCACGCAATATTGGGCGAAAACTACTAAAATTTTCAAAAAAATGTACATGATCTTAATGAAAGAATAGAGAAAATATTTTAAAGGAAGGAAAAACCTCTATTTTCAATTCTGTAGTTGTAAGAATACAACAAAAAAATTGTGAAAAAACAGAGAAAATCTGACGTACACCACCTTTATAAGTGTATTTTACTTCAATCTAACAAAAAATTTAAAGATGAACTTAGGAGCCATTTTTCAAAAAAAGTTTTGAAAATGTCCCAGGGACTTCAAATAATGTACCTCTCAATTTTAAAGAATGTCTTTAAAATCACAATGCTTCACGTCAAGGTAGACTGACCAGGAAATATCCATTTTAGAAACAATCCTACATGTGGTTCAGGCATTATTGGTGATCACAGACAGACGGATATTCTGAAGAGAGAGGAGAGAGAGAGAGAGCAGAGGGAGCGAGAGAGAGAGAACGAGAGAAAAAGAAAGAGTGAGAGAAAGCAAGAGAAAAAGAGAGAACGGAAAAAAAGAAAGAAAGAAAAACACAACAACAACAACGCATTAATTCGGAACTTATTTAAGAAACCAATTAGTAAGCATCCATTTTGAGAAACTAGGCTGTGCAAGCAGCATGGTAATGAATGAGGAAATGAAAAAGGAAACTGGCAGGTGTAAATGGGGATTTCCCCAAAGCAGAAGAAAATATTATCCTTCATAATTAAAAAAGAAAATCTACATGAAACTAGCATGTGAATAGTGACAAATATTCATAGAAATTGTATATTTGGTTTACAAAACACTTATTGAGCCTAGATAATTTTACCTCTTTGAAAAAAAGCAATGGTGACATCTTAGATGTATACTTTTTTGTATGTTTGCATCATTTATTTAATTACTCTCACTTATTGCATTTTAGAGATCTACTTTATGTGTTTGGTAATCTTAAATCGAAAACAACAAAATTTAAATATTTCTTTAAATCCTTTATTTTACAGGACCCTGAACTAGATCATCCTTGTCATAACCAGAACATAATCCAATTTTTATGGCAGATTTGGTTCAATAATGCAATAATGATGATTTATAAGTATAGTTTCCCTGCAAATTTTCAAAATACTTACTCTCCCTGCTGGAAGTTAGAGTGGCCAGCTCCTCTTCCTCGTCCTCTTCCTCTTCCCCGACCACGGTGATTTCCTCCTCGATAAGATGATGCATCTGATGTGCAAGAAAGATTGTCAACGCTGGTCCACTGTCCACCAACTTTTGTCACTTGAATTTGAAAAGTAGATGGTTCTGGTGTATTACAAGACAAATCATTTGTCTGGGCATCAGACCGTTTTTTATCTCTGCCAACACTGTATGACCGCCCTTTGCCTCTTCCTCTCTGACCTCGTTCTCTGTATCCACGTTGAGTCTGCCCCCCTCTTGCTTGCTGGAAATTTTGCTTCTCTTGAAACTCTGACTTTTGTTCTGTTCTAGAGCTTTCTTGAAAGTGTGGATTTTGAAAAAAGTGTGGATTGTATTGCAAAAATGGAGGTTGTTGAAAAAGTGGAGGTTGTTGCAAAAGTGGAGGTTGTTGTAACAGTGGAGGTTGTTGCAAAAGTGGAGGTTGTTGTAAAAGTGGAGGTTGTTGTAAAAGTGGAGGTTGTTGAATATTTGTGTTTGGGTTTTGCATGAAAGTTTGGTTAGGCGGTATATTGGTGTAGTTGTTTTTATTTTGAAATTTTCCACGATTTCCACCTCCGCGATGAAAAGGTGTTGAGTTCCTAAAACATACCGACATTTTCTATTACTTTACCATTTTCAAAGAAGAAAGCAGATAAATGCTGATTGTTCTTTTAACATCAATTGGTCAAATTAAAATATCAATTTAACATCAAAAGAATAAAAAAAAGCACTCATTAACTGAAATATAATTATAACAATAATTAACAAAGCACAGTTTTGCTATGGATTAATATCGCAATCCAGCCCTGTTGCCAAACTTTCATTAGAAGGCATTTCCATTTTCCAAACCTACTTGCACAACAAGAGCATCTCCAGAAAATATTTTAAAAAAAGCACTTCATCAAATTGAAGAGAAAACATTTTCTTGGTACTTAAAAACTGATAACACCAATTTTATTATTAAGTAGGCTCTATGTTACATTATCATTACAGTAAAACTTCAGTTATACATTTTCAGAGCGACAGGTCGCTCCACAGGATCACGGCAACGCGAGTAACATACAAGATTTCGGCTCTCGGCAGAGATTGACCCATGCCTCATTTATATGGCCTTGAAGGGAATTTTATTTTGAATAGAGGGGCACATTTTGATGACCTAAAATATTGCCAAAAATTATCAATTAAATGCTCTTAAAATGCTTTAAAAATGCCATAACAACAATGAAAAATGATGTACAAAAATTTGATCAAAACCACTTCAGATGAACAACTCAAGTTGTTGGGTATGTTACTGACGTCATCAAGGCTTCTTCCTTTTGTTGACGTGCTCTGCTTGCAAACGTTTGGTTTGGACTGTTGTTTAAAAGAAAATCTCTGCCTTTATTAATTGTGAAATCGGCCGAACTGACATATATCAACAATACATGTCACAGGAACTTTAAATTACATTGTACTCATAACGGCTGACCTTACAATATATAGGAGAAGAAATCAAATAGGCTACTCAGGAATTCTGTGATAAACATCTGTTGCACCTTGTAAATATTGTTTGAAGCAAGTACTGTTAGAATGATATTAAAAACTATGAAATCAGCAAAAAAATGCATTGAAAATGATGTAAAAAGGGTAAAAAATGACTTGATAGTCAAAATTGACAAAAAAAATGCAAAAAACTGACATATGAAAATGAGTGATTTCATTTTGCCATAATATAAAATAAATTTATTACTACACAGCTGTGTTCTAAAGTAAAAACAAAAAAATGACATTTCATTAAAATGCGCCCTCTACTTATGAACATGTAAATGTGAAACACGAATAAATGTAAATCACATAACTGAAATAATTTAGCATGGGATGTATAGGAATTTATTGGAGACTAACCAAACAAAACGTATAAACAGTTTCACTGTTTTTAATAAAAATCTATAATTTTTTTAAGTAAAGATCAAGTAAACATAAAAAAAAATTACATTGTTTAATATTTCTAAAGGAATAGTTAAAATTAAAAAACAATGCCAATGCTGATAACAAGATTTTAAAAACATTTCAATTGATAATAGTATTAAAATATGGTTACAGAATATAATTTATTTTGAGGCCTTTTCATAAAAATCATTTGAAATAAAATTATTTGAATTCTGTTTATTTTAAGGCAATGCAATGACCTCTTTGAAGCTGCTCTTGTTGAACAGAATGAACTGCTACCAAACTCTGAGAGCATCTTCATAAAATGAAAAACATTTCATTGCTTTCATTGAGAAATTGCTACACAACAAACTGATTACCCATAATTAATACTCATTTCAAATTTTTATGTAAGAATGATAAAGATACAGATGATTGTAAATAACAAGGCATAATTATTAAAAAAATATTAACCCTTTAACAGGATCTAACCAAGGTAGTGTGCCACCATTATAACTGCTTTGTGTTCTGAAACAGTACAAGCTTATTATTAGCACACAAAAAACAGAAAGAAAAAGAATACTTAACAATAACCAAAATGTCAATAAAGGTAGTCAACTAGTTAAAATACACTCATTTTTCTTTAAATTATTATTTTTGTTATAAGTTGGAAATGATTAAGCACACAATCCATAGGGTTTAACAAAACAAGATGTAATCACAAGAACTAGAATGTAATAGCATTGCAAACAGTTTAGGACTGACATGCTTAAATACAGGGGCCGAGGGGGAAAGAAAATTAAAGAAAAAAGTAAACAAAGGAAGAATGAGAGGAAGAAGAAAGAGAAATAAGAAAGGACGCAGCAAAATTACAAACTTTAAACTCATAAAATCTGATTACTAGGACTAAAACTCACAACAATTTTGAAAATATTTCTTTAGAGGTACAAATTGCTTCCTCTAAATTCAATCCTCAATTCAAATATAAATTTATTATATTAAAAAATATATTTTTTAATTTAATTAAAATATTTTTTTAATATAAAATCTGCAGAAAATTCAATTGCATTAGATAAAGAAGTGATATTACGAGTGAAACTATTTTTTTAAAACTACAAGTACAGTAAGTATGTCTTGTTCTTATTTTTGTACGGAAAATATTAAAAAATAAGGAGAAAAAATAATTCTCTTAATTTAAAATGAATACAATTTTGAAAAAATATAGTGTCTTAAAACAACCTCAGCAGAAAAACAAAAAAAATTTTTCTGCAATCTATTTTGTTGAAATGTATTTACAAAATACATTTTACATACTAATGTTACTGCCAGCTTATAAAACATGCAATTTTTAAATTTAATTTTATAAAAGAAAACAAAATTAAACTGTTTTTGAAAATTTACTTCCCTAAGTAAAACACCGTAATTCTCATTACACGCAAATTATAATGACCCAAAAATTAATAAATAAAAAAAAGGGGTCACACCATTTTCGGGTGATTTTAGTTGGGGGCAAAGGTGTGAATATGCAGGCAAATGCAGTACATAAGATTCCATTACGTAATATTTCAAAGCTTTCGAGAATTCAAACTTGTGGGAGTGACATCATACATCACAAAAATTAATCAAATCAAGAGGCGATATTATTTTGTTTCTTCCTTTGCTCCTAATGTTCTCAATGCTATATTAAAATCAGACTTAATTCAGTGGTCGTGAAGTTCAGGCCCACAAGGCCAGGCCAGACAGCATGACCCAGGTTTAAGAGAGCCATCTTTTAGACTGAAGGTTTTGCGATTGTCAGAAATATTATATACTTTATACTTTCTCTGATACTTTGTGATAGTTGATACAATGAAGAACAATTTTTTCCCGCTTTGGCAGCATATGTAACACTGTTTTTAAATCAATAATGGTAAGCAATTCATTTACCTTTTATAACAGTCCTAATTTATAAAAAATTGTTAAAGGATGTCTATATTTAAGGTCCTAACCCTACTTGTGTTTGCTATACACTTTTATAAAAAGGGTCCAGGTAAATGCTTGCAGACGGTCCCACACTCATTTCGTTATGCTATGGACTTAATTACACGGTATAATATACAATGGTTCTTCCCAAACCACATTAATGATATAAATTTTAAGACAAGTGACATTTTCCACATTATAATATTGGTAAAATAGTAAAAAATAAATAAATAAAAGAAGTGAGGGGTCCACTTGAAGAGAACAACTTACGTTCCAGAAGAATGTTTATTGTACCTGTAACAACAAACAGTTTCTTTTGTAATGTCAATAAATATTGTGATATTATTAAATAAAAAGCATGTGTCAAAACATAATTTAACACATATATTCAAAAGAAAAGCACACACTTTCGATATTGTTGGGAAGGTCCCGTTTGTTTTTGTTGTATTGATAATCCAGCCAAATGCGAAGCCAGTTCCTTCATCTTCTCAGTTTTTTCTGAAACAAAAGAAAATTAACATGTGACAATGTAAACAGGTATAGGAGAAATTGTCATACCTAGGGGCAGATGAACCTACTGGCAATTCATGTTTTTGAGGAGTCAGGGAGAGAAAGTTTGGATTATTTTCCCTATATTCCATTTGTGTTTATTCAAGTGAACAATTTAGTAGTGTGAGCTGTTTAGGTAATTTTATGAAGGTTAAAAAAGATTTTAAAAAAATAAATAAAGTAAAAATTTCTGTAATTTTTTTCCATTAATTTTGTGCAAACGAATATTGAAGTAGACCTATACTTACTAGCACATAATATAGTTAATTCAAGACATATATTTCTTTCCTATAGATAGCCTACAATTAAAAGTAGCCATGTTCATTCATGATTGCAGATTGTTGTACTTAGAGACATCCCTAAGTGTTGATCACACAACTTTTCTTGAACGATTTACCTTGCTTCCCCCTCTCAGGCACAATAAACAGTTGAAGGCAAAAGCTTGCAGCAAGCACTGATGACAACATTTCAAATACACTTCACTGGCACGAAATAGAAACTATTTTCTGTTTCATGGCATGAAACAAAGGAAACAATAATAGGCCTGAACCACTAGTAAAAACAATTAATAGTGCAGTTTTGACTGCTGTTAAAGATAGTACATCAATTTGTTGTTCATCAATAGTTCAGATATAGAAAAGGACAAATCGGAAAACTTTGTTGTATAAAATTAAAACACTGCACATATAATGATTAACTTATTCAATATTGATGAAAGTTCTGCAATACATTTGAGTTTCCATGGAGAATATAAAAGTTATCCAAGTTCAGTTGTTCTCAAAAGCAGCAAACATCTATCCTTTTCCCATTTCCTTCAAAAGTTAGAATCTAGATTGAAGTCCTATTGTTTTAAGAAATGTTGTTATATCCTATGAAGCTGACACAGAACATAAGCTCCAACACCAATTTGTGTTTGGTTGTAATTAAGAGCAACAAAAATTTATTTTTTCCTTTACACACTTTTCATTATAATCTAGGTTAAAGATCATTAAATGTTATTGTGATATTCTTTCCATAAAAAAAGTACATACATTTGTAGTTTTTTACATTTTCCCTATATTGTCCCCACATACATTAGTACAATGTATCTAGATATATTGCACACAAATAAATTATCTCTAAAAGAACCTTATAGAATGTTCTTAAAATTATTATTATTATTACACATAAATATGCGAAAATGAGTGTGTAACATTCCAAAAAGAGGACCAGCAACAATGTCATATCCAAAAGAAGAGAGGAGAAATTAAACCATGAATAGTGTCCCTAGGTACACCCATTTCCTCTACACGTATAAAACACATGTCATAATTAAATAAATTAAAGAAAGAAGCAAAAAGAAACAATTATTAAATAATTACCAACAGATTTCTTCTCTCGGCTAACTTCTTCAAGTCGCTTTTTGAAAAATTCAGCTGAAAAATACAATCACTCATTTAATAAAACTGTTAATTTGTTTAACTAGTTTTCACTATCATACAAGAAATTGCACAGAATATTTTTGGAACTTCAGCAAAGACAATTAATATTTACAAATCACAAACTGATTATGAATGACATTAATCGAAAATCATTTTTCAATAAAAAAAATTTGGCATTTTTTAGGAACATTAAATACCTCTCATTGTATGATTCCTCTTTCACACATAAGTCTTATAGCATAAAACAGGAAACTACTTTACCAAAGGAATTTATTTATGACATTGACATTAGGATTCCTTGAATAGAAATTTTGGTTAATTTTTACGATCATTAAGTAGAAATACTGTCTAAAATGATGGAATGGCTTTGGGATTCTCATTAAAGTCAATGTTGTTCATAGCACTGGTAAGGTCTGTCCAGCCTAAAGTCCAGATGTACATAAATATGTGAGTTGGATGAGATCTGGATATAAACAAGAGAAAATAAGAGACAAACAAATAAAGAGTTTGAAAATGTGCTAAAGATGTGAAAAACACTGCATCATAAATTTGGTAAGTATAGAGGAGTTACTCTAAGAAGGGACCAGTTAGGCTGGTCGGGAAACAAATGAACGTCATTCAGGGTTACAACATTGCAGGAGAAAGTGATAAAACCATTTACAAATGAGCTAACTGTAAATGAACACACAAAAAATACAAAAATAAGTGCATGGACATAACCTGCAGTGATTTTGCCAGCAGTAGCTGTCAAAGCAGTCCCTTCTTATAGTAATTTCTCTATAATATGTGTGTGCTCTGTCATTGCTCTGCTCACTCTTGTTCTTTGCTTGTTGAATTATCATTTGTCTTTTATCTGACACCATTTATTCCTCTCTGAGACACCAAACTTTTTTCTTGTCATCCTCTTGTTCATGGCCTCTGACTTAGACAACTATTAATTTAAAATTCACATTCTTTAATGTTTGCTTGATTGGAAGTGAATTGCTAACATGTAGACGTCTTTACCTACATATTGGGCTAAATCACACTAACATCCTCCGAAAATGTTGATGAAAAGAATTCGACCATGATCATAATTGAGTTTCATAAATATGCATTGTTTTTATCACCTTTGCAGCTTATTATTACATCCACGTTCGAGGTTCTTATATAGTTATAGAAAGACAATATAAAAACATACTTCAAACCAACTATACTTAATATACAAAAGTACAGTGACCCCATATTTTTGAAATGAGATATTAAGGAAAAATAACTCCTCTTATATTCGGGAAAATAGGGAAGTGCTCCAAGTGGAGTTTATTCATGAGGCCTGACTCATACACATGCAATTATATTTTAATTTTAAGGCAATAGTTCATATTGATTAGTTGTACTGTGAGAAAATTTGTGCAATGTTACAATCCCAGTTTAAATTTTTACCAACGTTTTTTCGTCACCACAAAATTAATTAAAAACATGAATTTGATCGAATAAGTCTTCAGAGAAATGAGGTCCTTGGTTATGGAAGGTTCAAAGCTAACCGATGTTACTACACATTTTCTAAAATTATTACAGTGAATATCAAAAAAGAATATTTATCGAGAATAAACAAGTTCAGTGTTGGAAAAAGAAAAAATTCAATCACTGTTAAATTCATTGGAAATAATGTTTAACAATATTTCAAAAGGCATCTGCAATGGTTTACTAGGGAATTATGGAGAACTATATAATACAGCATGGGTTCTAGCAAATTCCCATAAGTCACGAGAAGCTAAATGCCTACAAAACTTCACATCTAAAAGGATGGTATATATTTCTACCACAAAGTAAAACAAGAAAAGAACAAAGTAACAATAAAAGAACCTAAAAAAGAACATTTATGTATCCGAATGAGTAAATATGACAATGCAAGCGAGACTCAATATGTTGACTTTACCACTCGACCAAATGTCCCAAATAAAAAAGAGTTCTCTAAAATCATTTAGAACTTTTCAAACCTGATGAATAGAGATGTACATTCACCAGAGATGTATAACAATAAATAAATTTTACAAGTAATAATCGCATAGCTTACCTTCAAGTTTATATTTTTCAGTCTCAAGAGTTGCTTCCTGAAGTTCTGCTGCATGTTTATGTTCTAAACTAGCAAGAATTTGCCGTAGCATTTCACCTGAAAAATAAATTCAATATCAAAAGAGTAAAAAATATCTAGAAATGTTCACAAATGCCTCATAATCATAATTAACTGCATTACAAGATATTGTAATCATAAAAGAAACTATTTATTTGAAAATACGAAAATTTCCATCAATGAATATTTCAGAAATTTTCACTAGTAAGAGAGGTTTCTTTTCATTCTACCTCCATTTATAACAAAACACAAAAAACGAAAAGTGGGAAAATGGAATGTATTTTGGCTTCATCGACCCATGAGCCACTACTGGTCATACATTTTATAATAAACTTAGCTAAATTTTTCAAGTATTGATATTGCTTTTGTTTAAAAGTAAACACTAGGACCTTTACATATTATTCTTAGTACCTAAATTATTTTTAAAATGTTGGTACTTACTATTTTCCACATTCTGTGATCTTCTAATTTCCTCTTGTATCATTGTTCTCACAGATGACGTGTCTAGATAATCAAACATTATGGGAATAATTTGCAAAAAATACATTTTAGAATCATTTGACAGGTAGGTCAATTATTATTAGCACATGTCAAAAAAGTCAAATTAATAATTACCTCCATTCCCTTGTAATAATTTCATCATTTGTAAAACAACAGCCCCCCATGGCTCCATTTTCTGAAACATGATATTTTATGTACACTAAACTAAAAATAACTTTGTAAAAGTAATATTAACACAATGTAGCCTACATTTCAATTAAGTCAGAAAAAAATGTGTGTTCCATTACAAATTACTTAAATGAGAAAAATATGTGTGCCATTGTGCAAATTTATTCAAACTAAATTTTTATTACTGAAGTTTAATTGTCAGTATTTTCATTCTAAAATACGCTGAACTACACAGTGGTCAAAAGAGAGGAATATTCAGGATTACAATACACAACCAAATGTACTTTTCTGAACTCATAATGAAAGTAGGTAAACGAGATGACAAATCTGAAAAGTAGAAATAATACACCAAGACTTCAATTACAATATGGCAGTTATTTCGGTATTGCATTGTGAAGATAAGCTCTTGTGTAAAATAAAACAGAGCAAAATCTGTAGTTTCACATAAGTTGTCTCCAATGTACTCTTTCATTGTCATAATTATTACGACCTAAATCTAAGTTCACTCCCGATTGACACTTTTCAACAGAGTAACATATCTTCTATACGTCATACGTGTACGGAATGCAAACTATCACTGCTACTATAAGTATTAGTTCACTTACCCAGCTTTAGAAGAATGCTACAGCAACTGCGAGTGTTATTTGCCTATCACACAACACAATCCGAAGCACCAAGTGGTATTCTGTAAGACGCAAGACGATCAGACGAATACGAGACGCTTTTAAAAAGCGCATCCGGTGTGCCAGTGGTGTACAGAGGCAATGCGAATCAAAGTGTTGAAGGTCACTTAGTCACGCGGCAAGTCAGGGACTTCCCCCTCTAAATTCTGTCACGCGGCTGCAGTTCTACCAACCAAAACAGTAGTCATTCGTATCCTATATTGAAAAGATATAGTAATTTGGCCACGCTCAAAATTATTTCGTAGTTCAATATTAGTCCTTAACTATCTACAATGGAGTCTACGAGACCAGTGTCACAATGTCAGGCCCGCGCCAAGGGCGGGCCCAGGAAAATGAGAGCCTATTTTTATGCTGAAGGTTTTTCGATTGTAAAAAATATTAATTACTTGATACTTACTCTGAAACTTTTCGATTACTTGATACAATAAAAGATTAAAATCAGTATCTTCCTGAATCATTTTTTCCCCGCTTCGGTAGCTTATGTAACTATTTCTGTATCAATAAAGGGAAGCAATTCATTAAAGTTTTATGACTTAATTTCATAAAATTAAATCATGAAGGCAGTTTTTTCCACTATTGGCTATTAATCATAGACGGATGAATTCTAATTTATTAAAGGCTATTTTTATTATTTAAGGAACTAACATTACTCTCATAAAGAGGGTGCGGATAAAAGGTTTGCGGGCGAGACCGCACTTTTCGTTACGCTACTGTACGTCGTACTGTGTATTAAAAATATGAGACCTTTGCGATTGTTATCTTGCGCGAACTCACGTTATCTTCGAAACAGATAAGCCGTCTCGCCTTTCATTACTTGGCAATCAGTGTTCATAGAAAATGGCGTATCAGAGGCTTTCATCTTCTCCGTATGACAGCCGATGTTTTCGAAGAAGTCTCAGACATATCGTAGAACCAGTTACTTTAGTGTTCTAGTGGAACCTTCGAGAAAAAAAGGACAAATATGTTCAATTTCATTTGTTTAGCAATGACGGAGAAGGAAATATTTTTTTCTGAAGTTGTGAAAATGTGTAATAAGACTTATTTAACCGTGCATTTGACGTAAATCAGCTGTTCACGATTTCATCCATTCGGGAGCTTGAACGTCCCCATAGTGACGTCACTGTAGAGACATATAATTGTTATACTCTGCAAGGGCTCTGCCCGGAGTGAAACAAATTGTTGTATCTCAAAAACCGTTTAACCTATGAAGCGACAACTTTACAAACGTTCCTTTGGCTTAGCATAAGAAATGTCATCAAAATCCGAGATGGTTTCGCGGGTCACTTTTACAAAATTAGTTAGAAATGGTCATTAATAGCTCCAAAGCAACGTTTTACTCCACGAGTTCAAAATATGAACTCTTACTAAAACCGTTACAAGATATCCACTAGTGATGCTACAACAGCATGTACTTTCTCGCGATATTGTCAATGGCTATGTAATACGAAAATTTCTGTTTTACACCTACTTCCATTTGAAAAATTCTTAAACAAACGAAGCGTCAAAAGTACATGTATTATTTAATTCAAATATTTAAACCAAAATAGCTTTCTGCTATTGAATTCAATGTATTCACCTTCTACATAAACATACCAACGATTCGCATTTTAGCCGTAAATAAAATTATTAGTTTATATTAACGCGAACGAAAGACGGCCGTCATTATCATCTCTTGTTATCAGTATGGCGTTACAACAATGGACTGCAACACGCAACCGCTTGCTGTAATGCTATGGCCGCTAATTCGTAAATGATACACATTTTACAAATTAGCATTCTGGATACCGTTAGCAATTATTTAATTATTATATTTTTCTATCCATTTTCATTATTTTTATGCTTATCAAAGTTACTCTTTTTTACACACATTACTTTTCATTCCCACATCTTATTATTCAAAGTACATCTATTAGTTTTAAAATTTAGCTGAATGAAAGGACGCAATTTAAAATACTCGTAGGGTTGAAATAATTTCTAAAAAATTAATTTGTAAACGTATTACAAAAGCTCGAATGCGAGAAAGGAACAAATAAATATGAAATAATATACAAATTCTAAGTTCGGGGTCGTCCATAAATTACGTAACGTTAAGGAGGGGAAGAGGGATTCCAGGCAGCGTTACGCTGCGTTACATACGTAATGCTGATATTTGTTTTTAAAATATTTCAAAATTTCCTGAAATAATTCCTTTTATTGAGTCTTATACTAAAACATTAACCAATTAAATTAAAAATAAAATACATTAAAGAAGTTATGTCGTATAACGTCAATTTTCATAAAATTCAAGGTATCCTTATGTGAAGATCTCTTTTTGATGAGCACAAATCATTAATAAAAAAATATCTTCACAATTGTAGTTGTACAAAGACGCTGAAAGTTTTTAAGTTTTTAAATTTTCGAAAAGTTAAGTACATGAAACCTGTACTAATCTCTTAAGCGTACACAATCTAAGGTCCAAATTTGACAACTCACTTTTCATGTAGATAGTTCAGGCCACAACAAGTGCCATGAGTGTCCGCAGACAGCATGACCCAGGTTAGAGAAGCCATCTTTTAGACTGAAGAGCATTTTAGCGAGTTGGTATTCAGCATAAGTTATTTATAATTCTAGAACTCATTAATAAACTTTTTTCTCTGAATAATAATTGTGTGATTAAATGATTAGATCATATTCACACACGATAGAAGAGATAACAATTTTTTTTTCAAATAACTTTCTCCTCAAATGTTGCTTTATGGCAGATGAAGTAGTATAGCAACTGTGGTGGAATGGTAAGTTTTTTTACTCAGATGCAATAAATAAGTTAAAGTATTACAATATTCATATATTACTTTTGAATAGACAGTCTCTATATATCTTATAGTGATAAAAAATATGTTAAGAGATTTCGGTAATGTTTTGATATATTATCATATAATATGATAAGGCCGGTCCTAACCCTACTTCTAATTATGATGATTTGCGATATACGACAAGAACTCAACTTATATATAAAATAGCTAGAGTACCAGGTATATAGGTAAAAGATCTGTAAGGCACTGACGGTCCCGAGCACTCGCGATTTCGTTGTGTATCTCTTATGGATCGAATGAGTGTGTAAACGACGGCTAATAAATGTGAATCACAGCAATGGATTCTGTGATACGAACACGACACAATAAACCTAAAACAATGTTTAATAAATTAGTATATAAATTTTGACATAGTGGTATTTTATTTCCCTCACCAATTATATATTTATTATGGTAAAAATAGATAAAAAATAAATAAAATATTTTAATTAACAAAGTGAGGGGGTCCACTTGAAGAGCACACTTAGTCTCCACGAAGTATTCTATTTTGTTTATTGTACTTAACATCACACAGTTCTCTTCTTTGTACATCGTCATGATACAATTATTGTGATCACTCTTTAATTTTAACTAAATCACAGCATCCGGTGCTCAATACACTCCACTTCTACACATATATATCAACAGAAAAGACATCCACTTTCGATATTGTGGGGCCAATGAGTCACCTTGTCTTTCGTTTTTGTTGTACTCTAGACAAATATCCTACAATTCCACATGTCTCAATATTGTCTTTGTAAAGTTCTTTACGTATTCCTTTCTTTATATTTTTTTTTTATATTATGTTTTTCTCTTCTCTTTTGTTTTTTTTATATATATTATTTTATTATTTATGTTTTTTTTTAGTATTTTTTATTACTTCTTTCTATATTATATTTCTTATTTAGTTATTTATATTTGTCTATTTCTTTATCTCTACTTCTATCGTTCTCTCTATCTTTCTAGTATATCTCTTTATCTTCTCTCTATTCTCTCTTTCTTTCTTATTCTTTTTTTTTTTTTTTTTTTTTTTTGTGTTTTTTTTTTTTTTAGATATTTATGTTCATTTCATATTTTTTTATAAACCTATTTTTTGTGTGTTTTTCTCAATGATTTTTGTATAATCTTATTCTCTCTTTATGTGTATATTTTTATTTCTTTTTTTGTTTTTTGAGGGCAGTTCTTATATGGTTGAGGGAAGTTTGCGATTATTTTCCATCGGCTATCATTCACTTTGTGTTTATCTCACAGGAACATTTAGTAGTGTGAGCTTTTGGGTAATTTTATGGAAGGTTAAATCAAGACTTCTTCTAAAAAAATAAATAAAGTAAAAATTTCTGTATTTTTTTTTCATTAATTTTGTGCAAACGAATTTGAATAGACTATACTTTACTGCACATAAACTATACCCGTTAATTTCAAGACATATTATCTTCTTTCTACTCAGATAGCCTACAATTCCAACACACAGCTAGCCAAATGTTCATTCAATG